CTGAACTGGACTTTGGGTTCTCTGGCTTTCTAGAGAAGGCTTTGTATTTCTCATTGCTTCTAGCTGAAGATGGTAAAATCGAAATAGCTGGTGTATGCCAAAGTACAGAAACTGAATAGCCCTGGCCTAGATTCTGTGTGGGTCTGGTAAGAAGGGATTATATCATAGGCACCAGAGTCTCAGCTTGTGTAAATCGGCATGTCTGACGTCCATAGCACCCTGCTGACGTGGCCCTGTTGAGGGTCTGGCCCTGCATGTCCTAGCTAGCAAGCAGGGCTTTTGAGGGGGAAAAGGTGGGACAACTGCAGGTATCTCATTGAAAGATTTGGTTTTTGTTCCAATTATTTTTTTAAGAAAGGTTGGTCTTTACTTCCTCCATGAGTCCCCTTCTCTGAGGTCTAAACTAGATGGCCACGTGTGATATTGGGGGCATTCTGGCTGTATTAAGCGTGGCTCAATTGAAATTGCTTGTCCATGCTGCAGTTTAACCACGATTAATGGCGATTCCCTCCAAATTACTCCGGCAGGGCTGTGTTAGGCAGATAATCCGAGTGGTTGGATCCCTTGCTGGCCTTTGGTGCTCAGAACATTCATATCCTCTCGTCTTTCATCAGAATTATTCAGACTGCTCTGGGCTGGGGTGACCCATCGATTATCGTGGAAGAAAAAACCAGCCATCCGGACTAGTTCTGATTGTTCTCAGGCCGGTATAAATCCAGGATGTGTGAAAGGGTCAGGACAGGCTCTTCCTTAATGTCTTAGAAAAGTTGCTAAATGCCAGGCCCGTGAGGTGCCCTGGTGGCAGTGGGGCGGGAGCTGCACATGTGTGTGTGAATGGGAAGCAAAGGGGCTGGCGGGAGAGGGACAGATCCTCTCAAAAATGTTAATACCAGATTTTTGGTACAGAGTAGTCTCGGGGCTAAAGCTCTGCAGGTTCAGGAGTTCAGCAGCAAATTTGATAGCCGGGAGGTGTCAGTTTGCTGTCATGTGAAGTAGCTTTTCGAGCCTGGAGCCTGCACAGCGCTGGTCTGAAATCAAAACTGTATCCACTAAAGCCCCTCCGCGTCCGCACTCTCCCGTCTGGTAGACAGTCTCGTGCACGGCCACACCGAGCCCCGCGAAAGCCAGAACGCAGAGCTGGACAGACCCAGGCCTCCTGTGGCTTGTTGGCTGCGTGAAGACCTCTTGTGTATAGAACGGGTCTCTGACCGCTCGAAGGAGAAACTAGCGGCGCTGGCGTGTGGAAGAGCTGGGGATCAGAGCTCACAAGCAGGTCTGGGCCTCAAATGCCTCTGGGAAGTTTCAGCTGTTTGGGAGTGAGTCGGCTAAAGTGCTGGCTGCCTGATTAGAGAACTTCCACCCGGAAACCCCGGAGCTGAATCCAATGAGGAGACTTTCGTGGCTGGATGAAGAGGCCTTTCGTAGAAGGCCATTTTCAGAGGGTGCGGAGAAGAGGCAGCTTCCTCCTTTGAGTCAGGCCACTCTGGCAGAAGGCCTTGCGCTGCCTGTTTCAGATCTGCCCCCGGCCCCCTCCTTGCCTATCCCAGTGCTGACGCCAGCCTGAGTGAACACCAAGAGAAGTGGTCTGGTTAGGCAGACGGCTCCTCTTTCCCACTAGCTGTCCCCACACACCTGGTGTACGGAGAGTCAGGGTTATGGACCCTTCCCACCATCTCTGGCACCTGCTTCCTCCCCGAATCCCCCTTCCCTCAGGTCACCGACCCCCGGAGACCCTAGTTGGATGCCCTCCTCCCGAGGTTTGCCAGCGGAGATGCGCTTCCCTCTCCTCGTGAGGTGGATCCCATCTCTTCCTAGCCGCCCCCTTCCCCTCTGCTCGGCGAGGGGGTGGAACTGGCTGCAGGGGCATTCGAAAGAGCCCGACAGGGACCGGACCCTGGCCACCCCTCGCCCGCATAGAGAGGAGGGGCCTCCTTTACCGCTCGCATCTCTGGACCGTACCAACCTTTGCGTTGCTGGAGGGGGACCCGACCAACGGTCCTGCCCCCATCCTTGTGCTTCTTCTGGGCTCCGTGCAAAGGACTAGGCCTTTTCCTGGGGAAGGAGAGTGGGTTCAGTGCCCGCCATTGCTCACCACAGGAACAGACAGTACCGCCCTGGCGTGGCTGCAGTGGCTCCTCCCACAGGGCCTCGAGGGGTCGGATTCGTGCTGCCTTCTCGCCTGACCTGCTGCTGCTGCCTGGAGAGGGGGCATAACGACACCGACACGGTTGTTACCCCTGAGCTGTATCCCGCTAAGGCCCACCAAGACCCGGCTGCCGTCATGTTTTCCCCATTTGGAGCGGGTCTCAGTCTTCCTTCCAGCCTCCGCTTCCCTGGTGCAGCAGTGTGGTGAACGCAGCATTGACCCGCCAGTGGTGAGCAGAGGTGTGAAACCAGAAATGCACAGTGGCATCACAGGACATGCCGATCAGAGCCCTCTGGCTCTTCTGCTGGGTGGAGAGGGGGTGCTGTTTGCCAGAAGGCAGTACCGCCAGTGGTGGGGTAGGTGGCTTTGCAAAATGACCACAAGTCACTCTTTTTATAACGGGGTGGGGGGAGAAAATAAATGGCAGTGTACAAAACGCGTCTTCTCTCTCCTGCTTTTACTGCCGTGACCGATGTCAGCCAATCCCAGCTGCAGCCCCAAAGGCAAGTGGACTTCTGCCCTAAACTATAGCAGGGAACCAACGTCTCCATTAAAATCCAGGCCACAAACTTTTCCCTGCCACCAAAAAACTCTTCCCCTGCTGGAAAGCTTATTGCCAGCCCCAGGCCAGCAGGGGCTCCTGACGACATGCTGGATTTAGCTGGAGGGTAGCCAAGCGCCTTGTCTAAAAGGTCACGCTATTTTCCGAGTAATGAACTGGTTCCCTTTTGCAAAGTAACAGCACTTAGCCAGGCTCGGCCACAGGAAAGCTGCGGCATGGAGGGTGCGATTCTCGGTTCGCCAGCCCGTTGGCACGCTGCCGGCTTGATGCGCTGTGACAGTTCTGCTGAGTTAGTGACCCGGGGGCGGCAGCGAGCTATTTATAGAGACCGAACAGACAGCAGGGCTGGTCCGAGAGCCCGGCCGGGAAGAGCAGACTCACGTAGCTGCGCTTGGGGGTCAGTCGTTTCAGTAAGAACGTGCTGTCCGATCAAGGCCAGAGGAAGGCTCTTCATAGTCGTGTGGTGAGCCACGTCGGCGGTAAATCCCCGCTCCCTTTATTTCCCGTCGCTGATGGAATCTGACCCTCGCGTTTTCAAACATCTGCACCTGAAGGTTTGTAAATCCCGATTCCCAGGGCAGACTCTTAGCAGGCAGGGACGAACCCTTGTAACAGGGAAGCCGTACGTTCTCCGTTGGTGGAAATCAAGACACTGTCTAGTTCAGGGTTTCCCCACCTATGGATCTGGACCTAAATATAGGTCGCCATTACATTTCAAAAGGGTGTCCAGGTGTCTCCCCGGGTGGCTCTTCAGGAGCTAGTCACACATTTTTTGAATTGCCCTGGGTCACCAAGTCTTCCTGAATTGTCAAAATGGGTCCCCACCTGGAAAAGGTTGGGAACCGCTGGTCTAGTTCATCCCCCAGCTCGACCTGGGAGTCGCTGGACAGAGCTCGCTGGCCTATTGTGCTGGAAGTCAGGCTAAGATCAGATAAACAAACTGAGAGTTCTGGTGACGTGGGGCTCACGTTTCTGGCAGCCAATGTGGACACGAGGACACACTTTTCACGGTATCTGGCCCCGAATGCCCATTGATTTCAATTGCCTTTAAAAATCCAGCCCTAAATCCATTATCTGTTGGTCATCCCCTTACTGTTAGCATGTGGCAGAGAAATGGAGCCCGAGAGACCCAGACTTTGTCTGTCTGGATGTAACACCATCCGCCTTTCCTCCCTCGTTCTGTTTTGATCTTGCGCCTTTTGCAGGGTTCCGTTCTCTTTCAAGAACTTCCAAGGCCCGAAGAAGTCGAATTATTCCTATTTCTCATCTGGTACTAAGGGTGCCCACAAAAATGAAGCCGCCTGTTAATTGCGCAGGGATACAGCACATGCCGTCTGTGGTTTGCATTCTGCACGTTGGAACGGTTTGCTCGGGTTATATATGCACAGCGCACTGGTAAGCAACACTCCGGAGTGTTCCAGTGTTTTAGTAAACACCGTGGGCTATCACCCACCTCAGTTTTCTTGCAGAATTACTCCTCACTCTTCTCAACGGGCAGTTGTGCTTACACAGGGATGGGTCAGTTTGCGCCTGTAATGTTTAGCTGCATTAACGCTGTATTGGCCCGAAGTGACAAGTTAGCAACAGTTTTCAAAAACAAACGAGTCGCTTTCCTTAGAGAACCTCTGCTGCGGATTAGCCCTTTCACCAGACCCTAGCTAACGCCTTGCTTTCTTCCGGGGTACAAAATGTTAACCACCTCCGCTGCGTTGGTTTGGAGCCCAAACATATAGAACTGCCCGCAGCCAGGAAAGAAAGATGGCTTTGTACTTACAGTGCCGGATTGGGAATGAGGAGATCTGAGAGCAAATGCCAGCTCTGCCACCGATTCCTTTTATGACCTTGGTCAAGTCGCTCTAAAAATGTTTTTGCTGTGCCTCTGTTTCCCCGTTCTTTCACCATGCTTTGTCTGAATTGTCTGTCTTTAGTTATAAGACCTGTGTCAGGCTGGAATGTTGTAAGTGAAAGATATGTGCATCCCTGGCTTTTGGTGGTGATTTAAATGAGCAGGGAGGAAGACTTGCCTTTTAACTCTTCAGTTGCTTTGCATTTGTATTTTCTTAGTGTCTTTTTTCCCTAAAGAAAGGCTCTTTCCCACTTAGGGCAGCTGGAACAATTTGTGGAGCGGGAGGGGAGAGCTACCAAACCACTCTGTAAGCCCTCGCCATGATAGAAACTACTGTAAGCCGGGGGGGTGCAGCAGCTGGCTGGGTGAGCGACTCTGACCTTCCCAGCCGTGAGTTTTGTCAGGCTGGCTCTGCGCTCACCTCCCTCTGCTTTGCTTCCTTGCAGTTGCTCTGAAGAGTCACTGCGGCAAAGGGGGAGCGGAAAGGAGCGGCGACCGTGACAAGGGAAGGACCTTGGGACGGGCTGACGGCATCCTGCCCGAGGGCGAGCTGCTGTTACAGGTTGGTGCTCCAGGCTTTCTCCGTACTAGCGAGTCTGTTTGCCAAGGCTTGTCTGGGCCTTTCGTGTGATTTGGGCAAACTCCTCCAGAGCTGTTCTCCGGGCGGCAGGGGCGAGGAACGGCTCTTCCTCCGGAGCCACGGTTGTCATGGTGGGTAGCGTCCTGGCCTCCTGCTTCCGGTTTCCCTGGGGAGGCACGGAACACGGTGGAAGACCTCCCTCTTGAGGAATCCCATCTCGTCGCCTGGAAGACAGACAGGTCTCTGCATGAGTCTTAAGACTCCGGGTCCGTTCGTTGGGTGGCTCTGGTCCCGCCCTGAAACAAAAATGCCACCACTTGTTGTCTAGCCCTTGGTACAGGTTTCCTCAGTATCACACATGGGCACCCATATGAGCCACCTACATGAACAACAAAAGGTCCGGAGGTCTCCATTCCCCAGGCCTCCGCTCCCCAGTTTCAACCTCCCATCCCCAACCGCAGACCAAGAGGTGTTTTTGACATGAGCTTACAAGCTGCCAACCATGGAGCTTACCACTTCATTTGGCATGGGGTGTCATTCAGCACTCTTCCCCCCCTCCCCAATATTTGCATTCTGATAGTTTGTAATGCTACCTCTTCCAAGACTTCTTCCATCCCCCTCCAGGGACCTCTGTGCTGACCGTATCTCACCCAGGAGATGAAAACTTTATTACAACGAGCAATAGGACATGTAGCCAAGGACTACGTTGTGTCATGATTTTGTTGACGAATTTTCGACTGTATAATAGCCCTGTACCTCTACACTGATGTTTGGCAGTTGCGGATGTGAGGCTATGGGTGGGTGTCGCAGCTTTTTTGATGACTAGAGCAGCCAGCTCTGGACAGACAGATTTTACCGCGTCAATTGCAACGGAAGGTGTTTTCCTGCTGTCTGTGGCTAGTAGCTCGGGTTTTTTTTCTGTCTTTTTGTTTCAAGTGCAGAGAGCCACTGTGTATCGTGTGCTGCCATGCCTGGCTCCTGACTGGATTGCCAACTTCAGTCATCTCTTGCTTGGCTTCCCAAGTCTGTGGCCCGATGCCAACGCGTATTGTAGAATGACAGAACCATAACACTGATCAGTAGCCGGAAGGGATAATTGTGTATTAGTTACGGCTGTGGAAGCTGGGATTGTCCCCCGCAGCTTGTAGTGTAGGTGTGCCTTCCTTCTCCCTTCTCAGAGAGCTCTTGAGTAATGCAAAAGGGCTGAATTGTAGTGTAACTTAAACTCACTGCAAGACCCCTTCAATCAAAAAGCGAGGGTACCGAAAAGGTGGCTCTGTATTAAAGCAGGGGCTGCTGTTGCTTCTTGTCCCTGAGTGCTGCTGTGAGATGGAGAACGGGAGCGGGGTTAACGTCGCGCTCACCAGAAATGAACCCGCTTTGCAATCCGTCCGGGTTAACAAAAGACAGTGGAAACACCGCGGGGGGAGGGGAATGCTCATTGTTGTCACGGTATAGAAATGTTTGCGCCAGGACCCTGCCCGGAGGGTTGAAAGCAGGACATTCATTAGCCTCGGCGGGAGATTCCCACACAGTGCTCTGAAAAGAGAGACCATTTGTGTCTCGATAAAGGGGATACAGATCTGGACAATGAGAAGGGAATTGGCAGCAACAATAGCCGAACTTGGCGAGGAGTGCGCGCCGGACGCTAATTCCTTCCGACACCTATACATTAGTGAGTTAGGAGCACAGGCCAGGCTGGATGTCCAAGGTTCGAATTGCCAACGGGGGTCAGTTACAGGACCAACGTTACTAATGTACCAAGCAGCAGGCACTTCTGGGGCAAGTCTGAGAACCTGTTAATACCGTCGGCTTTCTCCACAAGACGGAATCCGGCTGGGTACAATGCTACCTCCTCGTGACTGCTCTGGATTTCCCCTCGCCTTGGGAGCCAGAGAACAGCTAGCTGTGGGTGGGGCCGATTGCGGGGGTGGGGGTGCCCAGGCTGTCCGAGACAGCCCTGCCCCCGGACACGCTGGCTGCTGCATTCCCATCTGACTGAGATGTCTGTGCTCGGCTGCCCTCACCCTGCTCCGTTGCCGGAGACTGCCGGCCCCAGCCATCCCACCCAAAGCCTCGTGGGATGATGTGAATGGAGTTTACTGAGCATGCCCAGCAGGGCCTGTTGGCGTTTCTGGGAGGACGGCTCGACGTGGCAGGGATTGTGGCCACCCGTAAAAAGGCAGCGTGGCCCAGTGACCCCAGACAGGGCTTTTCCCGCTGACTCTTCAGAAGGCCACAGCCAGGCTAATGCTGGGTGTGTGCCCTTAGCGCCTGGGCAGAATGCTCCTCCCTCGGCGCTTTGCAAAGCACAGGAGCAAGCGTGTCTCTGAGGGAGAAACTGAGGCACAGGGTGGCCCTGTTCACACTCCTCCGCACGACATACACACCGCCTGACTCGGGACACTGGGAGGCAGCAGGGCTTGTGCCGAAGGAAGCATCGTTTCTGGCAGAGGCTCATTAACGACATTGCCTCGTTTCTCACCTGCCTGCTGTCTTTCCTTGAGCACCCCGCTGGGCCCCTGGAGGCAACACGAGGGCCCCTTCAGAGTCACCAAGCAAAGACGACGGAGAAGTTGAAATCTCTCCTGAAGAAAAGGAGGAGGGAGGGGAGCTGGCTAAAAATATATTGGCCAGTGCACATTCCTGTGTGGCAGGACAGACAGCCCCCTGGTCCCACTGATTGTGCTGCCACTGAATACCAGAGAGGGTGGGAAGGAGCTGTCTGAAAGCTGGGTGCCATTACTCAAGCATCGAAAATGTCTCAGCTGTTCTGTTCTGGAGTCCTTAGTGCTCTGCATTCTATACAGGCCACAGGGCGTGACACCCCCCAGCTAGCTAGCGTCGCTGTGTTTGGGCTGGGAACGTGCATGGATGAGCACACACATTTTACTCCACGGCATTGCTATTGTGCACAGCTATGTACCAAATGAGATGGCTGTGTTCAGAGGGACACCACGGTGGGAGGGAGGGGGGATGTCTGTAGCTTTTGTGTGGGTGCATTGTGAGTGGTTGCTTGCTTATACATGCTCCCCAATGGAATCCTGTGAAATTAGCTCTTCTTTGTTGTACATAAAATCCGGCTCAAAAAGGTTATGTTAGAGTAGCATGGAGCACCAGGGGGTACCAAAAATAGCACTGTCGTTGAAAACTATTGGTTTTTTTCCCCTAATACCTTTTTAAAACATTGCTTGCACCCTGGATCTAGTGGTAGCCCTTATGATTATTTTCTCTCAGCCACTGTAAATGGAATCACAGAACACTGGAACTGGAAGGGACCTCAAGAGGTCATCGAGTCCAGTCCTCTGCCCTCACGGCAGGATCAAGCACCATCTAGATCATCCCTGATAGATGTCTCCTGTGATGGAGATTCCACAACCTCCCTGGGCAATTTATTCCAGTGTTTAATCACCCTGACAGGCAGGAAGCTTTTCCTCATGTCCAGCCTAAACCTCCCTTGCTGCAGTTTAAGCCCGTTGCTTCTTGTCCTATCCTCAGAGGCCAAGGAGAACAATTTTTCTCTCTCCTCCTTGTAACATCCTTTTAGATATTTGAAAAGTGCTCTCATGTCCCCTCTCAGTCTTCTCCTTTCCAAACTAAACAAGTCCAATTCTTTCAGTCTTCCCTCCTAGTTCATGTTCTCTAGACCTTTCATCATTCTTGCTCTTCTCTGGACCTCCTCCAATCTCTCCACATCTTTCTTGAAATGGGGTGCCCAGAACTGGACATGAGACTCCAACTGAGGCCTAATCAGGGTAGAGTAGAGCGGAAGAATGACTTCTCATGTCTCACTCACATATATTCACATGTTTATGCAGTTTCGTGACTCCTATTAAGCCCTTGACACCAGTGACACTGAGTTCCTCAGGGTAAGTATGTGTTGTGCATCTTCTTTCAACTTACTGCTTTTCATTAGATGAAAGTCCCTTTCTTCTTGTGTGAAAAGCCTTTAGTAAAAGCCAGGGGCTGATCTCAGGCAAGCAACAAACATTCACAGAAGCCAGCAACCTGCCCCTGGTTTTAATTAAAACTACGCTGGGGCGGTGAAGACGAACAGTGCGACCAGGACTTGCAGAAAGCTGTCCTGGGGGACCTGACTTGCAGACAGAACAAGATCTCTCCTCTCTTGCTTCCCATCCACATGCAGTGGTGTCGGGTCGTGAGCTGGATTGGGGTGCTGACTCTGTCCCTCTCTCTCCTAGGCGCTGAATGGCTTCGTGCTGGTGGTGACATCCGAAGGGGAGATATTTTATTCCTCGCACACGATTCAAGACTATCTGGGGTTCCACCAGGTGGGTAGGATGGGCCATAACATTGTAACCTGGCTTCTCTTTTGCTGCTGGCTTTCTGGTTTGGGGTAGCTGGTAAAACGTGTCATCTGACCAGGGGAACAGCTGATGGCCAGTGGGCCTCGGGCTCCTCTGACGTGAGTGGAGGAGACCGCTGAGCAGTTGGAGGAATAGCTCCCGGCACCACTGCTGCTTGTCCAGAGTACCCCCAGCCCTCAAAGCCTCAGGAGCAGGTCTCTTCGAGCTGCTGAGGGAGCGCTGCTCCTTGAGGATTAGAGGGCTGGGGGGCTAGTGCTGCAGTCCAGGCCGTGCTAAGGGCTGACTGCCCTCGGCCCCGCCCCTTCCGCCCTCGGCCCCGCCCCTTCCGGTGGCACAGAGCCAGCCCCCTCGCCTTGCGCAGGGTCTGCAGTGGCTGTTGACCCAAATGTTTCTGTTCCTAAAAGCCGCTGGACTCCTCCGGGCTGGTTTCACATCCACAGCCTGGCTCCCCTGGTCCGAGGCCAGCAGAGAGAATTGCTCTTGGCACTGGAAATAAAGAGCGGGGCTGACACGCAGGCCAAGAGATCGACTTGAGCTCCCGTCTGCAGTGCGTGGGGCAAGGGGTGCGGTAACTCGGCCGAAGCCAATGGAGTTACTGTGGATGTGCCCCCCTTGAGATGAAAGCAGAGGTTGACTCTAGGGAGTCTGCCTGTTGTCACTGTGACCATGGCCGGGCAGGGGGTCACAGCCCCTTTCCGGAGCAGTTACCATGGCGACTACCGAATGAACAAGGACAGCTAGCAATGGGTCTGCCCCCTTCCGTCTCTGCATGCCGTCCCTTGTTACTCCCAGGGTGCAGTGGGACAAGCTGGTTCAGGGAGGAGAGACAAATGTGACTGGCAGAAAAGACTCGGTGGCGGCCTCTTGCCGCAGGCCTGCCCTGGCACACGAGCTGGAGGGCTGGCCGTTGCGGGGTGGGAACAGAGTGCTTCCCAGAAGCGCCGACGTCTCCCGGGTTTCGCACGCTGGATACAAACCCCTTCTCGTCGTCAGCCACTGAACACTGAGCTGTGGTGATGGAAAACCAAACCGGAACATGGTTTAGTTCTTCCAGGGTTATCCGTGAAACCCTTAAGCAGCCTGCAAAACAACTGGACCCGAAAAGGGGCAAAGCAACGAGTCTGTGGCTCAGGCCGGAGCTCGGGGCCAGGCAGCAAACACGGTTAAAGAGCACCAGGCCTTAGTCAGGGCAGGGCAACAAAGGTCTATGGCCAGGGCCTAGGTTCACGGGGGCACCACAAGGGGGTCGGGCACCCTGGCTCCTTGGCCCTGAGGGGGCGAGACTGCCCCTGGGCCCCATCCGACCTGCCCATCGGGGTATACCTGACTCGTGCTTGTGGCCCGAACGGTCCCGCTAGGAAAGCAGGTCCTGCCCCTGAGGGGAAGGGTGGTGGAGACTGGCCTGTTGGGAAGCCCCGTGGCCGTCGCCGGCTGTTGGAGGTGAGGGCTGCAGCCGGCAGCTGGTTAAAGAGCCTGTAAAACAGGGAAATCATGACGTGTGCGCACAGCAGGCCACCTGTACCCACCCTGGCCAGGCCCAGATCCCACTGCTACCTTGCCCCACATGGAGCCCCCTCGATCTCAGAGGGGCGAGACCCCCAGTCGCTGCAGCTGCCGGGGCCGCACAGTTGGACTCACCTGTTGCTCTGCCTCCTTCCAGACCGACGTGCTGCACCAGAGCGTGTTTGAGCTGATCCACACCGAGGACCAGCCGGAATTCAGGCGCAACCTTCACTGGGCCCTCAGCCCGCCCCCCGCGCCCGAGAGCGCCCCGTCGCCAGAGGGTAGGTGAGGGGCGAAAGAAGGGGACCCGGCGTAGAGCCGGCCTGTTCTGGTGCTTGCCCAAAGGCCACATGGTCTGTCCTGGGACTCTTCCCGGCGCCCATGGAAGAGTTGCTTTGAAAACGCTGCCGGCTTAATCCTGGGCAGGGCCTGCCCTGAGGCGCTTGGGCCCGGCCCTTAGGAGGGAGACAGTTGGATCCCCAGGCTTACCGCGGGCTCTGCTTTATCTCGCGCCACGTAGGTGACGTGGGCGCCGGCTCCTCCCTTCCGGCCTACGAGCCCGGCCAGCTGCCTCCTGAGAACTCCGCTTTCCTGGAGAGGAGCTTCGTGTGCCGGTTCCGCTGCCTCCTGGATAATTCCTCTGGCTTCCTGGTGAGTAAGACACGGCATCGGAGGTCCCTCAGCAGGGGCGCGGCTTGAGTGTGTCCCCCCCCCCCGTTGTTGGCAGAAGGGGGCCCCCACTGCTCCGCCAGGGCAGCCTCTCCCTGCCAGGACAAGGGGGCTGTCTCTGTGGTAGGCCTGGTTTCCTTGGAGACTTCACTCAGTCCTTGGCGGCCTGGACCAAAGGCCTTCTCCACACCAGCCTTGTTCTTCTGCCCCCCTCCACTTCTAGCCCCTCTCCTCCAGTGGGCCCGCTCGTCAGGACAGACCCCAGGCAGTCTGAGCCCTCGTCCTCCAGCAGGGTCGGACGCCGTCCTCTTCCTCGGTGCTGCTGCTAAGGGAGCTGCGCCTGCAGCCGGGCCGTGGGGGACAGTTTAGAACCGTGGTCCCCAACACGGTGCCCGCGGGCGCCATGGCAGCTGTGGGAACTTACCAATCCCCAAGCACATGACCTGCCCGGCGCCGAACCAGAGAAGTTGCCAGCCCCCCGGTGCAGCCGCAGCGGAGACCGTCAGGGTCTGAGGTCCTGGAGGGAGGAAGGAGCCAGGCCGGTGCCAGGGGATTTTTGTCACTCCCCTCGGGAAATCTCTGCCTAGCACACAACCAGGATGGGGCACTGGCCATTGGATTTTCTCTCCTCCCCTGCCGATTGCTCGGTACAAATGCTGCCTCCCTTGAAACAGCCCAGCAGGCTCCAGAAGTGACTCCTGATTTCCCCCTTCCAGGCTTTAAACCTTCAGGGCAGGTTGAAGTTTCTCCACGGCCAGAAGCAAAGGTCCGAGGACGGGTCTCTGCTGCCGCCCCAGCTGGCTCTCTTTGTCATCTCCACGCCCTTGCAGCCCCCCTCCATCCTGGAGATCAGGACCAAAAACATGATCTTCCGAACCAAGCACACGCTGGACTTCACCCCCTTGGCGTGCGACGCCAAGTGAGTACAGGAGCTAGGACGGCTCAGATTGGCGGGGGGCTCTTAAACAGGATTTCCCCAGGGCTCTTGCAAGCAATACAGCACAGCTACAGGCTGAACCTCTCTCGTTCAGCACCCTCCGGACCTGGCTGGTGCCGAATCAGAGGATTTGCCGGACCGCAGGAGGTCAATATTGTCTAGCAGCATCACCAACACTGCCCCTGCTTACTGGGCTGTGAGAGAACATTTACGGGTGAATTAGAGCTAAATCACAGCACAGAACACTGAGCACCAGGTCTGGAGGATGTAAAAAAACTTCACGGGACTGCGGGAAACTTGGCCACACCCGTGCTAAGTGGACATCTGGCGAACACAAATCACACTGGACCATGGAGGTTGCTGGACCAGAGTGTGCCGGACTAGAGAGGTTCAATCTGTAGCTGACATTTTGTTGACAAGGGTTTGGAGGAACAAAATGACTTGGGTTTTTTGGAAAAAAAAAAAGAAAAGCAGGCTGTTTTTCTTGGGGGGGGGCATGGCTTGGTTTGCATCTCCCTGGCCGGTCGCCATTTTTTAACTTTAGAAGCCCGAAGTAACTGCCCGCGTCTACACGCGGAAGGGAAACAGGCGTTTGAAATAAAGCTCATTGCAGGAGGAATAACAGGTATTTCGGAATAGGGCTTTATTTCGAACGGCCGTTTCTCTGCTGCGCGTAGACGCGGGCAGTTACTTCGGGCTTGTACATTTCAAAAATGGCAACTGGACGGGAAGATGCAAATCAAGCCCGGGATAGTTAAATCCCGGGCTTGATTTGCAATTTCAAATGTCTACATTAGCCTCTCTAGTTTAAACTAGGGGGCTAGCGTAGACATACCCGGGGCGAGGACAGCGGTTTGTTTTTGGTGTGTGTGTGTGTGTGTGTGGTTTTCTGGTTTTGAGTTTTGGTTTTTGTTGGTTTTGAGAGAGAGGGAAATACCCTGGTCTTTTTGTGGCTATTTTTTCCATTTTTTATTGGCCTCATTGAAATTGTTATGCGGGGAGGGAAGGAGCAATGCTGCACACTGCAGCATGCCCAGGGTCGGGGTGACCCCAGTAAGGGGGTTCACTGACTACCCCGGGGCGGAGGCCACTCCCCCATGCAGGACTGTAGCCACGCTGGCTGGGCAGTGTCGCTAGAAGCCCTGGGCCCGAGCCGCTGGACTCCTGGAAGGCTCCCTCAGTCCCGTTGCTCTACTCTTCTCCTGCAGAGGGAAGATCGTGCTGGGCTACACGGAGGCAGAGCTGCGGATGCGCGGCACCGGCTACCAGTTCATCCATGCTGCCGACATGCTGTACTGCGCCGAGAACCACGTCCGAAGTACGCCTGTGAAACGTCCTCCCTCCCGCCTCCTGCTCCTCTCCCCCACGACGGGCCGCAGCCTACCTAGGAATGGCCACACTGGGTCAGACCAACGGTCCATCTAGCCCAGTGCCCTGTCTGCCCACAGTGGCCAATGCCAGATGTCCCAGAGGGAGTGAACAGAATAGGGAATCATCAAGTGATTCCTCCCCTGGCAACAAAGGCCAGGGATACCATTCCTACCCATCCTAATAGCCATTGATGGACTTGTCCTCCATGAATTTATTTAGTTCTTTTTTGAACCCTGTTAAAATCCTAGTCTTCACCACATCCTCAGGCAAGGAGTTCCACAGGTTGACTGGGCGCTGCATTGAAGAAAAACTTCCTTTTGTTTGGTTTAATCCTGCTACCTATTCATTTCATTTGGTGGCCTCTCGTTCTTATGTGATGGGAACAAGTAAATAATGTTTCCTCATTCACTTTCTCCACCCCAGTCATGATTCTGTAGGCCTCTATCCTATCCCCCCTCAGGCTCCTCTTTCAATCAAGCTGCTTCCCCTTTAAATCCCGCCAGCTAGCTGCCGTCGCCTGTGCACATTCGCATGGGAGCAGTGGGCAGGAAGCCCAGCCCTGTTACTCCGGGGGGTACGGGTGCCCCAGCACGCCCCCCAGAGGGAGCCAGTGGGAGAGCACAGCATGAGGAGCCCTGCATGCCGAAGCTGCCAGCAAACCCGGGGTGAGGGGGATCCAACGGGGCTACTGCAGCTCTGCCTGCCCAAGCTCTGGTGCCCCTGTGTGTCTGCTCCAGGGGATCCCTGGCCCTTCCTTGGCCCCTGGGGACCCCGTCCAGGCCGGGCCCAGTCTGCTCTGGGCCCTGTACACGGTGGGCTGCCTCCCGACAGATCGTCCTCGGCCCATTTGCAGGGTGCTCAGAAGGGCATGAGGGCGCCCTGCACCTGCTCTGCTCTTTGGAGGGGGAGGAGCTCAGGGTTCACCCCCCCACACACACACGCAGCTCTCCGATTTCCCCAGCCCCGCGCTGCTGGGACCCACGGCGCACAGGCAGGCGGCATGACCGGATCAGGCAACGGCAGGAGCAGGGCCTGGCTGATTCTTGGGTCAGGATGCCGGTTTGCACCGACGGGGGATCGAGCCCTGCTTCAATTTTGGCAAATAAACACCCCCGAGCCAATATCGCACACAGGTGTCGTGAGTGAGGGAAATGCGGGATTCTCCGGGGGTTCAAAGGGGTATGCCCAGCTGGACCAGCCAGAGCGGACGGGCGTGTGCGCGCCAGGGCCCGTGGGTCTTGCAGAAATGGTTGTACCTTGCCCCGCCCAGACACCGAATGGCGGAACCCCCTCTGCGGGGGCAGGGTTCTCACCACGGTGCCTTTGCCTCTCTCTGCAGTGATGAAGACGGGCGAGAGCGGCCTGACCGTGTTCCGGCTGCTGACCAAAAACAACAGCTGGAAGTGGAGGCAGGGCCAAGCCCCGCTCATTACATCGTCGCCACGCAGAGGCCACTCGCGTGAGTGTGGGGGCCAGCCTGGGTGGGCGTGACCTCCGCTGCGCCCCGGCGCCTGTCCCTGAGATGGTAGCGGCACCTCACATGGCAGGTCCGTGCGACTGGGGGTTTGCAAGGCTTGGCTGCTCTTGGTCTTCTGTGCACCTGGGGGCTCCAGGGAGCAGTGAGAGCTTGGGGACTGCGGGCGTGTGCCGGAACCAAACCCCACGCCCCTTGTGCCCGGCACCCTCTGCTGGTTCCCCGTCAGATTCCGTAGTGAGGTCCTGGGACGTGGGAATGGCCTGTCCAATGAGCTGTCTAGTCTGCCCACAGGTTTCACAAGACACGTGGGTGTAAGCAGCTGGGCACTGTGCAGCCTGGGTTTTGTCCCCCGTGGCCACGTTCCCTCGCCTCCCATCCTCTTCCTCACCCCAAGGTGCTGCGTGATTCTGGGTCTCCTGCTGGGGAGGTGCCCTCACCAGTCTTGTCTTTGTCCTGTGCAGAGAGGAAGAAGGAGATGATCACCTTCGGAAGCGCTCCATGCACCTGCCTTTCACCTTCGCTATGGGAGAGGCGCTGCTGTACCAGTCTGCCTGCCCCTTTCCTGGCTTCCCCGAGCCTTTGCCGAGCAAGGGGAAGCCCCGCAAACCCAAAAAGCATTCTCTGGGGAAAGGGGGACGGCCCCAGAAGGACAGCGTGGACCCCAATTCTCTCCTGGGAGCCATGATGAGGCAAAATGCGGCGGTTTACGTCTCCCACCCGGCTTCTACGCCCAGACACGCCGTCAGCCGCCCGCTCACCCCCCACCAGGGCAGCTCGGGCTTCTCTGGCTCTGGAGAAGACGGCTGGAGTGGGGTCGCTAATGCCTTGGCCTCTGGAGAAACCGGTCCCAAGCCTGTACTGGCTGATGGGAGGCCCGGGGACCCCCTGCTGGGTTCTCTCTCCAGTAGCAGTGAAGAAGCCTGTTCCACTCACGAGATGTTTGCTGCTTTGGAGGGGCTGGGGCTGACTGCGGAGGACCTGGAGCTCTTGCTGTTGGACGAGAGGATGGTGAGGGTCGACCTGGACCTGGATCGTGTTCCGTCGCTGAACGACCTGTTAACAAACAACGAAATCCTCTCCTATGTTCATGGTTCGCTCGCCAGCCGATGCGAGGGGGGGCCCACCGGGGAGCAGCAGGCCTGTCCCTTGTCAGGTCCGGCCCCGAATCCAAGCCCAGACCTGGGGGCATGTCCATCCCAGATGCCGGAGGAAAGATACCCCTGCTCCTCCCAGCCCCCAACCCCCCTGATCTTGCACCTCCCCCAGCAAATGCAGCAGTGCCTTGCAAGCCAAAGCCCTCGGGGCAGCCAGCCCTGGGAGCCGCCGCTGCCCTGCGGTCGCAGTCAGCAAGCTGATGAGGAGCAGCCCCCCGGCCTGCAGTGGAGGCCCCCCGCCGGAGCGGCTGAGGTCGGGCCGTCTCCCGTTGGACAGGCACCCCTGGGCAATCGGCCGCAGGGTCCACAGTGGGTCAGACCTCCTGGATCAAGACATCTCCATGAGCCCCTGGCGCCCCCTTACCAACAGCAGCAACCCGCGGCGCCACTGGAGAGCAGCCCCTATGCCGGGCCAGGAGCAGCGGGGCCGTTCCTGCAGCAAAGCCAGCCCTGCCTCCCGCCACGCCCGGCCCAGGCGCACACGGAGCCGCTGAGTCAGCTGATGCTAAAACCCGACCAGCACTTGCTGGTGAACGGGCTGGACGACCATGCCTCCGCCAGCCGGCCGGCCCTGGGGAACAACACATGGCAGCGCTGCTGGCCTGCGAATCAGCCGCCCCATGTCTGCGGTGTCGAACGGGGGCGCCTCTGTCTGTCCCAGCTCTGCCCAGCTCCAGTGCCAAACCCAGGCGGGGCCGCCCTTCCTTTCTACCTGGACGGGCTGCCCAGCACAGGGACGGGCGCTAGAGGAGCCTGCCAAGAGGAGATGACTCCTTGTCCGGGTTTTGTCCCCCCTTCCTCGTATCCTCCAAAGCCGCCAACCCCTGTTCCTTTGGCGTCCCAGTACCCAGCCTTGGAGCACTGGGGGGCTGCCCAGGGGCAGCAGGAAGGCTCCCTGCACTCTTGCGATTCCTAGGCCAGGAGAATATCCGTAAGGTGAGTGGCTCTTTCACCTCTGAGATAAGATTTCCCGAGTCTGGCTGAGGCTGAGGACCCTGCACACACAGGAGGCAGATGGAGGCTTGGGGCCCTTTGGGGCTTTGCACCTGCGGGGACTCGGGCTGGGGGGAGGGGCTGAGCAACGGCTTGGCCCCCAAGGGCACCATGGACTGGACCCCTGCAGGACCCCATGCCCTGCAGGGCTGGACACCCCTGGGTAACCTACCTGCCCACCCCCACCTTGCTGTGCTGTGCCTCTCCTCCCCGCCCCCCATCTCCCTGAACCCCCTCAGCCATTCTGCTCCCTGGCGTTAGCTCCAGGCACTCCCTGCCCCCTTCTCCCTGCCCCGGACAGACACCCTACTCCCAGCCTGCTTCTGCACCCTACCTTCCACCCAGACCTGGCACCCTCACCCCCTTCTGTACCCCACCTCCCTCCCAGATCCTGCATCTCTATCCCACTCACTGGCAGCCCTGCCCCACACACTGAACCCTTCATTTTTGTCCCCACCCCAGAGCCTAAGGGGTCCACAAAATCCACTAACTCTGGATCCATCTGGCCTATGGAAAGCCCTGAACCTCAGTCCTCCCCGTCCCTTCCCTTCCCCTTACCCCGTGCGGCTGGAGCGCCAAAGCAGTGAGGTGGCTCAGCTGGGGGCCACGTCAGTGAGGGTTGGGAGTTTTTGGAGGAGTTTTTTTGCTTCTCACTTGTGTGGTCCCCGACTGATTCTTCTGTGGGTCGGTAGCCCCCAACCCGAAAAAGGTTCATCGTCCCGCCATAAGTAAAGAAAACATTGAAACCTTTTGTGTTGGACATAAATTCATATTTTCTTTTATTTAAAATGAAGTTTGATAAACTAACAGGAGAAAGTTAAAGCATTTAATCTGTTTAATAATTTAAATTAAACCGTTCTCCCTAGCTGTAGCACTAGCAAAATGGCTCGTGTAATTAACGGAGCATGTCCATTAGCAAGTGGTGGTCTGCGGAAAGGTTTACATTGAGCCAGGTGGTCCATAGGCCAAAAAGTTTGAGAACCACTCTCCTGACTGACTAATTTGTAGATTCCAAGGCCAGAAGGGACCATCCTCTGACCTGCTAGGTGATCCAGGGCAGAGAACTGCCCCCAAATGATCGCTAGAACAGACCCTTTAGTAATTGAACCTACCCGTAAAGTTGGCGCCTTTACCTTCAGGGAACGTTTATACTTAACAAGAAGATGGACGCTCTGGGGGGTTGATCTTCTAGCGTTCGATTTAGCGGGTCTAGTGTAGACCCGTAAATCGAATGCTGAAGACAGACCCCATTGGCATCTGGCACTCCTCCTTCTGTGAGGAGTAAGGGAAGCCAACGGGAGTGTTTCCTGTCGGCCTCCTGCTGTGTGGATGCTGCCACGGCTCGGCTTAGGGGAAGCCAAATTGCGTACCTTAAGCTGATCTTCCCAGTCTAGTGTAGCCTAGGCCTCAGTGTTTAAAACATTAAACCCTCCAGCCCCCCAACCATGTCTCCCCTCTCTCTCCTCCCTCAGCCCGAGAGTGATTGTGTTTTGACCAGCGCTAATGTGGGACACCCCGGAGACTGCCGCCTGCCCAACAGAAACCCGGCTCCCGAAGCCAAATTGCGTACCTTAAGCTGATCTTCCCAGTCTAGTGTAGCCTAGGCCTCAGTGTTTAAAACATTAAACCCTCCAGCCCCCCAACCATGTCTCCCCTCTCTCTCCTCCCTCAGCCCGAGAGTGATTGTGTTTTGACCAGCGCTAATGTGGGACACCCCGGAGACTGCCGCCTGCCCAACAGAAACCCGGCTCCCTCAGACGAGCTACGTTCCTGCCTGGCACACACTACCAAATACACTGCTCTCAC